TGCTGTTATCATATCCATTTTACAGATAAAGAAGCTGACAAAGTAAATAACTTGCTCCAAATCAAACAATAAGTAGGATGCAGATTTGAACCCAGGTTCCAGCACACGTAATTGCTATGAAGCATAACAGCAGGTATTCAAGATACCCCAAGGTACTGTTACCATATGTGATTCCCATGAGAATCCAATGGAGCTGGCAAAACATGTAACTTCTTCATTTTATGGATGAGGAAACAGCCTCATAGAAGTTATACTGTGCTTTGTCTGTGGTCAGCAAGGACCTTTTAGTGGAATAACCCCTCATTCTTTATGTGAGTTCAGTTTTGATTATCCAGGGAATTGGAGCAGAAAGAAAAGTTATGTAAGACAAATTGAAATCATCTAAAACCTCAGCCTTAATATTCAATGCTGGACTTCACATACTGCTTCCCAAACCTGGTGAGAACTGCCTCTATTCTGTTGGAAAAACTGAAGAACACTGTTAGCTAACATATATGAAAGGAGACAAAACACATTTTTAGAAATTCAAGAAGTTACAAGATTAATTGATAATTAAATTCATCTTTCTCCAGTTAATCTAGAGTCAACATTTACATATTCTCCTTTTTCTGTTAGTACTTTACCTGTGCTAAACATACGTAATTTCCTCCTACATATTTAAAATGCTTATGTGTATATATATATATATATATTTTTCTTTTTTTACTTAAAACATTGTATATAGAATATACACACATGCACACACAACAACTTCAGAAGTCAGCCAGCTAAATAAGTCAGGAATTCCTGAATGGTGATATTTTAATACAGAATTTTGAATGCAAAAGATATGTAAATCCAAGGTTTTTAAATTATTCATTCAAAGAAATGTATTGTTCCCTCCGCTCCCAGCTTTCAGATAGGAGGAAACCATGTTTACTTCGTATGTTAAATCCTTTGACTATCTAGACTGTTCATGTTCAGATTAGGCAAATGAAATTAAGATCCTATTTAATGGATATTAAGGAATTACTGGGTTTTTTTTAGGTGTGATAGTGGTATTTTGGTTATACTAAGAACCCTTGTCTTTCAGAGGTACCATACTAAAATATTTATGGATGAAATTATGTCTGGGTTTTTTTTTCAAAAATAATATGAGAAAGGAGAGAAATAGATGAGGATAAAGGAAAAATAAAATTACCCGTGAGTTGATAATTGTGTGGTGGGGATTCAACATACTATTCTGTCTAATAAAAAGTTTTAAATTATGTATCATTCGACCTTCATAAAAAAAAGAAATCAGAAAAGGAAAACATTATTTTGCAATAACTTAAAGAGTTATCTAATTAACAATGGCAGAGTTTATATGCTGCTTGTATAGTAATAGCTTTTTTAATGTGTTAAGTAATTTTATTTCACAATGTAACAAATTTACCTTATGGGGAGATACTTTATAAACTAAGAGAGCTTGGAGAAATAATATATAAATCACAGTATATTCTATTTACTTTTAATAATCTGTTCAAATCAATTCAAAACCACTACAAATAGATAAATAAAATTAGATGATAATATGTCTGTGCACTGTATTTCCTGGACACTTACCTTTAGTATAAGCAGTTTGAAAAATGAGTTAGCAACATTGTTAGGAATATGTATTTCCCCTCTTTCTCTTTTGTTTTGTCTCCTTTTTGTTCAGCAGTTTTATCTTTTTGTTCAGGGGCAAAAATCAGAAACCAAGTCTTAAACTTCTTTTTCTGCGGTACCTGTCATTGTATTTAGTGGACAACAGTCAGTCAGTAAATACTTAGTGAATATCGAATTGTGAAAAGATTACAAGAAGGAATAACCAAGTTAGTATATTCACATCTCAGTCTAGTTTCCCTTCCCAGCTCTCTTACCAATTTTTTCTGAGGTTGATTAAGCTTTGATTAGTCTTTAGAGTGAAGAAAATATGTCAGTATGGTACTAAAATATTTTGGAGTAAAAGGAGTACTGTTGCCTGTAAGTTATATACATTTTTATTTTACTGCTGGATTAAATTTTGGTATTAATGATAATGCCATAAATACAATTTATAACGTGCTTGTCATAATGTATTCTGTACTGTCAGGTATAGTAACCTTTGGCCATGTCACATGTGGCTATTTAAGTTTAAATTTTAATTAATTGAAAGCAATTAAAATTAATTCAGTTCCTCAGTCACACTAGCATGTTATAGATGCTTAAGAGCTGCATGTGCCTGGTGGCAACCGTATTAGATAGTGCAGATTATCAAACGTTTCCGTCACCACAGACAGTTCTATTGAACCAACACCGCCCGAGGACGTACCTGATGGTCTAGACTGTAATTGCAAATTAGAGTCCAAATGGATAGTATGAGTGGGCTGAGATTCTCCTATCACTATAAAATGGAACATTTAACAGGGGGTTAATAAGCTTGCAGTTTATCAGCCAGAAAGTAACTCAGCTGTCCTGCTCTTTTTATGGTAATGGAATAGAGTGTCCTTGGTTTTTTGTTTTAATTTCTACCTTAACATCTTTACTTTTGGTAATAATTTCCTGTTTGTATGTTTACTAAAAGTAGGCTTGTGATTTAGTAACAGAGGTAAAAATAGATTTGATGTCTTTTAATATATATATACGTAATAATGTATGTTCTTTCTTGCTTACGTTCCTCACCTGGCGCAGGTGGAAGAGTCAGCAATGATGGGAGTAAGTGGCTATGTGGAGTATCTCCGAGAGCAGGAAGTATCTGAGCGGTGGTTCCGGTACAACCCCCGTCTCACCTGCATCTACTGCGCCAAATCCTTCAACCAGAAGGGGAGCCTGGACCGCCACATGCGCCTGCACATGGGGATCACACCGTTCGTCTGCCGCATGTGTGGCAAGAAGTATACCCGGAAAGATCAACTGGAGTATCACATCCGCAAGCACACAGGCAACAAGCCCTTTCACTGTCATGTCTGTGGCAAGAGCTTCCCCTTCCAGGCCATCTTGAATCAGCACTTTCGCAAAAATCACCCTGGCTGTATACCCCTGGAGGGGCCTCATAGCATCTCCCCTGAAACAACTGTCACATCTCGAGGACAAGCTGAGGAAGAGTCACCGTCACAAGAAGAAACAGTTGCTTCCGGGGAAACCGCCCAGGGCTCTGTGTCCACTACTGGGCCGGACTGAAACAGCGAGGGGGAGGGGGCAGACCCTCTTCCCCTCTGGGCTGTAAGTAGCCAGCATCAGGGCCACGGGCTGGTACTTAGATTTAAAAAATGCCACGTCACCAGATCAGAAGATGCTCCCAAGATGTTGCCAAAATAGAGGATCAGTAACATACACAAAAGCACTAGAGGCCTCCCCTCCTCCTTCCCACCTCACACTTTGGAATATAATCAAGCAAATCAACTTTCTAATTCAGGGATCAACAGCCTTGGTTTGTTAACTTTATAAGAAAAAAATTTTTTAACAAAAGACTGATAAATGGTCATTTATCTACCAGTCATTTCTGAACACTGTACTTTGGTCCATATCATCCTGGTGGCTGTCATTGCCCAGATCTGAAAAACGAAGCAAGGAGCCTTGGTCATCTGAACCAGCCAGCCAAAAGAGAAAAGGAAGCAATCGTGATGGTGATGATGAGGGGGAGTTTCTCCTCTTCCTTCCCTGTCCACAACATGCAGTTTCATATTTCAGGGGAAAAAAAAAAAAGATGGTTCTTTTGTTTTGAAAGGTCAGACTTAATCTCTGCCCTGACTAGGCGTCTGGTACTTTGCCTGGTCGTTTCGTGTAAGCAGCCATCCTGGAGCAGTACACTAGGGAGCAGCATCTCCAGAAGCACTTTAGGCAGCTGGAAGTGAGATGAGCAGCAAAGTGTTTGCAAGAGGTACTCCTGCATCTGGGGGCCCGAGTGTTGTGCGGAGGAAAAGGGGAACAGGGAAGGAAGTGTTTTTGTTTTGTGATTGTCAAGCAGCACGGAGCTAGCTGTACTGCAACTTCCTGATTGGTGTCGGTAAGCCACGGTGCTTGTGTATCTTTGGATGTTAGGAAATGGCTCTAGTCCAGATGAATTAACGTGTAAGGCTGACTACCAAAGTTTCATCTAGTCTCTTTGGCTCCTAGTTTCACATAACAGCAATATTATACATCGAAAATGTCACTTTACGGTGAAATGAGCCTGGATTGTATTTTTAAATCCACAGGTCTCCATATTTGATAACTTTTATATGATGTTTTAAACACATTTTTTCTGCAGTGTTGTGGTTGAAGAAATTCAACACTATGGTTCTGACTGCAACCACAATTCCATTTCCTTCTACATATGTGATAGTTTATATTTTCAGTCCAATAGAAGAACTTCACTAAATCAATGTCTTGCGTCTGCAAACCTAGTAATTCATAAACCAACCATCAGCAAATTGCTGATGACTCCAAGAGCTTTGCTTTTTAATAATACACTACAGGGCATTTACCAGAAAACATAGTGCACAATCATGTTGCAATAAATTGATCAGTTTTGGTCAGGTTTGGTTACTGAATCATTCCTAAGATTTTTAAAACTTCAAGGGACCTTTTTGGTAATTCTGGGTATTTTTCAGATTCCTAATCCAGCACTGAGAGTCAGAAAGAATTTACCAAACATGTAGAGCTTTAGATGCCCTGTCTTGCATGCAGAGAATGAAGGAGGATTATTAAAAGATGCAGACAAGTGAATGCTTACAAGTTACAGTGCAAATAGAAACAAGAAAAATCGCTAGCTTCTCTTAATTGATCATTAATTTTTTAAAAGAGTATTTAAATATGTAGTAGTTTAAGAAATTGTTTTGGTGCAGAGGCATAGATGATTGTAAAAGAGTTTTTAGGAGAGGGGCTGGCCGTGCCTGCACTGGTGAGCCATCTGTGAGAATGCTAGTTGCGTGCTCCCTTCCCGAGAATGCTTTGTGGCGTGTGGAAAAGTGGGTAGGAAAGAATGGCATTGCTTTGATGACAGGAGGTCAGAATGCAAAGGGTAACTCTTAAGCAGTCCGAGACTCGTGCATATTCATACAGCTGCACCGTATGTATCACTAGAGAATGGTTATTTTCTCTTCTGGGAAAACATAGAAATGCATCTTTTAATAGGAGTGTAGTGATGCTACCATTTGATTAGAGCCTACCCTTAAACATGCTGAAGCCGTGTTTTATTTTTAGAAGACATAGACTATGGCACTCTCCTCTTTAGTTGGGCAATAGCATTATAAGGTAAAAACTGTCACCTAGGGCCATCTTAGGGACCACCTATGCTCTGGGGCATAGAAAAAGTGGCATAGAAATTAGAGTGAAATCTTTTAGGGAAACATTTCAGCTGGTAATCAAGGCTTTCAGTGGACAGATTTTGCCATGCCTAAACAGGCAGGGAGGTGAGAGGTACAGAATATGCTGCTTTAGATGGAGCTTTTAAACTTACCAAAAAAAAAAAAATTAAGTTCATCCTACTTTTGAGAAGTAGTATGCTGGAAAGTTGTTTATTGCTTTGTTAGTTTCTTAGATTTTTATGTGAGAAAATAGAGCTTTTTAAACTTTCACCAAATTGTGAGAAAGTACAGTCATTTCTTTAAAGAGAAAGTTTGCAGCATTTGTCAGTACTCCATCCAGGGTTGGCAACAAACATGTGAAGTGAAGTGGGGACTGTCTGGTAGCTGTGGAAATGCTGTGAGTGTTTGGTGGGTTCCCCCTCCCTTTGTAGTCACTGCTAATAGGCTTTTGCTGTACTGATACTGTGAATAGAGTGCTTCTTGATAGATGGTCTAGGCCACATCAGCACAGTCATGTTTGCTGGTTCTCTCCTCTTAATGGGCCTAGCGCAGAGCCATGAAATTCATGAACATTCAAGCCAGCCTAGCTTTTAAACACATTTAAGTTTCTGAAAGCAATTTCCCCATTTTAGTTAGAAGAGAGATTATTATTGTTGTACACAGCTATCTAAGGTTCTTATCCAGGTTCACTGTGACGTTGTCCTCGTTCTTAGCTGACATCACTGTAGGGTCATAGCAGTTAGTAGTGTTCTGTCTACATAAATGAATAGCTATATTGGTGTGTGCACAGAGGATACCTCTCTTAAGGATGTACTAAATGGACTTTAGCTAATGCTGAAAACTCATTACCAAATCTTAACTTGCACATGTCACCTTGTGAAGGGAACTGCATTAGCAATGAGAGCTGAATCATTGTTAAGTACTTTAATGCCGCCGTGAAATAGCAAACACTGGGACTCTTCATTTATTGAGTGGCACTTAATAGCAAAGGAGCTACTCAATATTCTCACCAGAAGAAGAGAGATGACAATATATTGGTCTACTTTCATTCTAAGAGGTACCTTTTATTCTCTCAGAACTCTACCAGTATAAAATATGGCATTGGGGTGAGCAGTAATACTGTACTTAGGCAGAAGGCTCTTTCTAATGACTTGTTCTCTCTTTACTCAGAACCATATTTACCTCTGAGCTGAGTTGAGTTTTATTTTCTGTGAATTGCAAACTATCCCCAAGCCATTCCATTATACCAGAGGGTCAGATCTAATCTTGCATATGTAAAAATAAATTAATTCCTGAAAGATAAAGATTGGAAAAGAAGGGATATAGAAGTTAAGGGAAGTTTTCTTCTTACTTTTTTATTATGATTATTATTTTTAATGTTTCCAGTTCCCTCTCCGTCACTGAAATAGGGTTTTCCAAAGATGGCATGACAATAGAAATAAACCATAGTCGAAATCTGGCCTTGGTTGGAAGTGGTCGGACGGAAGAGTGAAGTAGTGAACTTCATCCTTAGTAACTGAATGAATAGTCTTTGGTCAAGAAGCAACTTTTGAAAAGTTACAGCTGTTACTTAACACTAATTTTGTTTTAACTGGTAAAAACTGCATTTTGTTTGACTAGAAAATCTAATTTAGAGGAATGAAAGCAATGGGTAATGGAAAGGAAATTTAATTGAACGAAGAGAAAAGTCTTCTTAGTCATAGTGGAAAGGCATTTAATCAAGAAGGATCTGGAATCCTGGAAGTTTTTATTTTTTCAGCTGGTTTTTTCTCTTCCCCAAATGTTCTCCTTATTTGTGTACTTAACTCATCTACTGTTTTTTGTTTTTTGCACTTATTCATTCAGTATTTTGGAGATTGAGAAAAAGGACAACAAGCAATCAAGCCAAGTTAATCCTTTAAACCCTGAGAGGATGCCCCTTAGCAAAGTATATCTCAAGGATTTAGGAATTAGATTATGGTTTAGCAAACCACAGCCCCCTGGCCAAATCCTGAGGTCACCTATTGTATAAAGAAAGCAATAGTGGAATAAAGGGACATCTATTTGTTTAGGACTTATTTATGGCTACCGGCTACTGTAATGGCAAGTTGAGTACTTGTGACAGAGACCACATGGCCTGCAACACCTGAAAATATTTGCCTTCTGGAACTTGACAAAAAAGGTTTGGCAACTCTAGAATTAAATTTGAAAGAATTACCCCCTCGAACTTGTCACGCCTGCCATTTTGCCTTTATAATAGCTTGGTTGAGGTTTTACATTCACGTTGCCCTGTATGCATCAGCTTCTTGAAAGAGGCTGCCATCTTTTTCTAGATCCTTTTCTCATAACCGTCTTTGTGTTCCTTCCTGATTCCTTCCTGATTCCCATTGCTTTAAAGTGTTTGGAATAGGCCTTATGATTTGTCCTTGCCTTAAATGTGCAGGTAGATTAAAGTTTAGGATGGTAGTTGCAGATTTAACAAACTAATTTTTAAAAATCATTCCCATGCATATTAATATAGGGTTAAATGGATACCATGTTTACATAAAATATTGTAAAAAAAATAATGTTTTTATAAGCATTGCCATTTCTGAGTTATAATGATGGCAAGAATAAATTTATTCCCACTAGTATTAAAAATTAATTTGTTATGAATAAGTGATTTGATTCTTATCCAAAGTACTGTTTTTTTGGTTAGAAACCTCTGCCCATTTCCTGCACTATACATCTTCATTTTAATTTCCTCAAGTAAACTTACTCTGTTCCACGTGGAATATAAAAAGCCAAAATCTTTGCTTTTTTTTAAATGAACATTTTAAAACAATGAAACAGCTGAGGATTTAAAATTCTTCTTAGACCTATCTTCCAATTTCTGTTATTGTCTGTAATTCTTCTAAATATATATTGGGTCATTATATAATTGCTTTGTTCATTCTTCCTGTTCAGTAGCTTATTTATGCCAGTTGTTGTGGAAAAAACGGAAAATGTTAGGATGATGGTAAACAGAATTCCTTCCACGAGGAGAATATAATTGGAAACAATACATGGACTTCTGAGTTTTATCTGAACAAAGTGTTCGAGGCCATGCTGATACAATACAGTGGGTTTGATTCTTACTTTGTTGTGAGCTCTACTGACACATGCAAAGTTTGGATGAGCGACCTAGCCTTGTATAGGGCATCTCTTCAGTAGGCATTTTATTCTTAAAGTTGCACTTTTCTGAGTTGGCTATTAGTAGGTTTTGTATGTTACACCCTCTGAGTAGTAGATAATCCTCATCTAAAAGATTTCAGAATATTTGCCTCTGTTAGATCTGCCTTGTCTTAGAGCACTTATAGTAATAGTGGGTTCTTGAGATTTTGGAGTGCTACTTTTCCAGTTAATTTGAGATTCTGATTAATCTAGGACATAGGACTTGTGAAAGAAATTGGATTTAGATAGCCCAGTGAAACCTCTGCATCCATTTCCATATGGATCTGTTGAAAACAGTGGAGTTTGCCAAGCATTGCAACCTCTTTGATAATTATCGGTCTTACGTTGTTTTGCCTCCTTCCTGGTGTCTTTCTCTGTTTTCACTATTTTTACTCTTAAGTGGTACTTTTCCTAGGGCCACTCTTTTTACTTTGCATTAAGTAAGCTTTCTTGCTCAGGACAAGCCAAAATTGAATATTATGCATACTTTGAAACCTTACTTAATTACACTCCAGAGGATGTAATTGTTGATAGGAACACTGATATCAGTACCTGGACGATATCTGTACACACTGTTGCTTCTGTTGTGTAGACAAACTATCTTTTCCCTCAGTTGTGAGGAACAGCAGTGACTTAGAAGGCAAATGTCACCTGAAATGTACATTATGTAGAAGGCACATATATAAATTACTTATCTTACATCTTCCCCATTATCTGTACAATAAATACTTCCCATCTTAACATAATTAAGAAGGCCCAGTAGCTCAAATAGTGAAAGCTTTAAACAACAAAGCTAAGTCATAAAGGCAGAGCAGTTAAGGGGGAAAAAAAAACTTTTCCAATGCTTACTTTTTTCATGTCTACTCAGTAAGTCCTGTTGAAGAAGCTAGAATTCACCATCCAGTTGAGCGATAATGTGTTCAGCATCTCATGTGACCAACAGCACAATTTAATAGGTTGTGAATCTTAGAATCTGAATTAATCCATAATGCCAGAAGTCAAAGTATCTGTCTCTTTGGAAAATGTTTCCTGTTTTACGGAATCACTTACCCTAAGTGGTAGGTAGCATACAGGAGAATCTGTTCCATTAAGTAAATATTGAGTAATTCTCAGTACCAGGCAATGTGCTTGGAATTTGTGTAACAAAACTGATTTTAGGCATAGTTTAGATGTGGCTTTCTATACTTGAGGGTCCTAAACCCACTTGGTTGGAGCTGGATGTATGCTTTTTTAAAAGCCTGCACTTTTTACTACAGAGATAAAAGGTCAAAAAGAAGGGGACAGAATTAACTATACTAAGTGCTTTAGTGACATAATTGCAGTAAATCCTAAAAATAATCCTATGAGGTAGTATCAGTAGTAACTAAAAATAGCTGACTCTTTTTTGAGTGTTTACCATGTGCCAGGCACAGTTCTATGTGCCTCACGTTAATTAATTCATCTAATCCTTATGACAATCCCATTAGGGTAGATACTCTTATTATCCTCACTTTAGAGAGAAAGAACCTGAGACACAAAGAGGTTGGTTGACCTAGGCAGTCTTACACTAGAGTTGACACTCTTAATAGACTATGTTGCATTTAATAGGTATAATTATATTACATTTTCTAGATGGGAAACTGTTGAGCCCAAGATTACCAAATGAATAAATTGCAGAGCCAGTATTTACCAGTCTGATTCCAAAGCCTAGACTGTCTCCAGTACATCATATTAACTCTGTTTACTTACAAAGAATTGGAGTGAACTAGCATATGCAATAGCCAGTAACAGTACTGTGTTTCATGAACTTTTAATTCAAGAATAAGTGATTGGAAGATTTCTTCAAAAGATAACGCAGTTGATCTCTGAGCAGATGTTGAACGGTGAATATTTTCTGGGGATATTGCCCACGAATTCAGAGGAGTCACCCATTTGGCAGGTCCAATTGTGAATGAATGAGTGAGTTACTACCAAGGCAAAAATTGAGAGAGAGCATTCCAGTTATCTATTGCCGTGTAACAAACTACTCTAAACTTTAGTGACAAAATAACAAGTACTTTCCACATTTTATGATGATATGCATCAGAAATTCAGGAAGGGCTTGTGTAGGCAGTTTCTTGTTCCCTGTGGTGACACCTCAGGTCACCTGGTAGTATTCAGCAGGTGGTTGGGCTGGTCTGGAGTGTCCAAGACAATCTGACCCACATTCCTGACACCTTGGCAGGGAGGGGTAGAAGACTAGCCTCTCTCTGGAGTCTCAGAGACTCTCCATCTGATCTCTCCATCGAAATGGTCAGACTTACGGAATGGCAGCTCAGGCCTCCAAGAGGCTGGGCAGAGGGTGCCAGTCGTCTTAAAGGCCAGACCCAGCTCTGTCATAGAATCACCACCATATACTATTGGTCAAAGAAGTCACTGGTCAGCTCAGATTCAAGGGGAAAGGGAACACCTTACCACTTATTTAAGGTGTGTCAAGGATTTGGGGTCATCTTTAATCTATTATAGGTAGCATTAGGTTTTTTGATTTGTCTTAACTCTTGTGTATTCATTGATTTAGGTCAGTTGTCTGTGCCATAGAAACCATTTATTATATCTCCCGTAGGTCAGTAAAGGGGCCAGAAGGAGAATGAGACAAATGTCTGGAACGATTTCATTAGCTTCCCACCCCCTGAGTTCCATTTATCTTATAGTAAAGTTTCCACTTTTAATTTTGTTCCAAGTTCCAAATTGTGAGTATTTGCCTTTTTGTTTTCTGTGAAGCCACAGTAAATGTACATGCTAAACCGCAAATACTCCAGAGGGAGTAAAAAGCTTACTGTTATAGATCTTGATTCATTAGAGATGTCAACTGTGTTTTAAGTTTACAGATAGGCAAAAACTCCTGTGGTATGGAAAATTTACATGGCTGCTAAATCTCTTTTGATAGGAGTTTCTATTGCGTGGCTGGATGGATCATATTCTTGAGATGATTGAAAGTTTTGCCTACATATCTTAGTCCATCTTTACTGCCACCACACCACTTCTGGCACAGATTTGTGCTAGAAGGTGAATAGGTTCATTCCATTTTTATTAATCCTTCATATGGGAAAATCAATCGCCCAATTTTATATGTTGTTAATCCTTTAAAATTAGCGGTTGCTACCAGCTTCTTTGATCTAAAATAACAGATCATTGAAGTTTTATGATCTTTGGTTAAATCTGTCAAATATAGGATGCTTTATTTAAACTTCCTGCTGGCTTGTAAATAGACTTCCATTGCCTTTAGAAGAAATAAAGGCAGAGAATAAATTCTGCTCTAAAAATGATCATCCCCAAATCAATACACTTTCTAAGAGAAGAAAGGTTTGGTATTAACTATGCATTCCATGTGCAGTGGCTTCCTAGAGAATTAGTTGTGAGGGCTTCTTGCTGGTCATCCCCAATTATCATCTAGTAAAGAGATCTCTGTTCCTGGGTCAGGCCTCAGGAATTGCAGATACAGGAAATAAAAGGGTTATTCAGGGCTCAAGATTCAATTTTGGAATCTAGAAAATGCTGGGAAGGGAAAAAGAAGACTTGCATTTGTAGTTGGATAACCAGGGATGGGGTGTTTGAGTCATTTCGGCATCAGGATTAATTAGATTTTATCATGTAAAGATTAGAGCAAATTTTGATGGGGAAAAATAAATGGGCATTAACATTTTCTTTTTTATCCATATTGCTACTCTGCTGTACCTCAAAGTCTGCTCATTGTGACAGAGAAAGCCTTTGAAAGTATATTCCCAGGGAATGAAAAATTGGTTTGAGGTACTTTTGCCACAAGCATTTTTGCAAACATTTTCACCATGTAATTAATTGGCCATAAGGCAATTTTGCTATAAAAGATAATGAAACATAAAAGAGGGACATTTAAAAAGGACATAATGCAGGGGGAGGGTATAGCTCAAGTGGTAGAGGGCATGCTTAGCATACATGAGGTCCTGGGGTTCAATCCCCAGTACCTCCACTAAAGAAAAAATAATAATAATAATGATAAATAAGCCTAATTACCTCTCCCTGCAAAACAAATTGAAAAAATAAAAGGACACAGTGAAATATGAAAAATGAATAATTAAACACTTGATTGCAAAATACGAAATATTTGAATACATTTAAAATGTGTGTAGATTCATGGCAATCCTGCACAAGTAACTGGTTTTATTTTGTGGGTTGTACCTAAGCACTTGTCTTTCAGGTCTTTCTTTAGTTCATAATATTTTATACTTTTTTTTTTTTGCTTGTTGATTCATCTGCTCATTCAGCATTGCATTTTTTTTTTTGCTTAAATTTTTCCCTTCGTTAAGAGAGATATCAGTTTCTGAATACCAGGATGTGCATATTTGTAATGAGTTGTGAAAGCCACTGCACTGTTGTTTGTTCTTGGTATCTTGTCACATGTCTGTTCATAGATATTCCAAAGTTCTGTGGGAAATGTGGGTTCAACCGTGCACCTTTGAGGCTTTTGACCCCTTTATCCTCCAACATAGTATGTTGCAAAATAGGAAACCAACTCTCGGGGCAAATCATTACCATCTGTCAGCTCAGTAAAGCCATCAGTAATGTTGAAACCCATTTCAACCAGTCAAAACCAAACTGCCAAACCAAAAACTGTTATCCAGTAATTTTATTTTTGAGGCAAAATTGTCTTACAGCCAGTTATGCTGTGAAAATGTCTGCAGCAAAGATGCTTACAGCAAAAATACTGGACACTTGAAAAATCTTTTGATAATCTATGGAGATGTCTCTCATTCGGTAACGTCTAGCTCTTTGGGCCCTCCTCTGGATTCTCTGTGACTCTTAAGTTTAAACTCATGTGGTGGTTGTACGAAAACTAAGTACAGTTGACTCTTGAACAATGTGAGAGTTTAGGGCACTGACCCTCTGCGGGTGGAAAATCCCCCATCACTTGCAGTTGGCCTCCATGTCTGCAGTTTCTCTGCACCTGGGAATTCAACCAGCTGCTGATCACGTAGTACTGTAGCATTTACTATTGGAAAAAAACAGGGTATAAGTGGACCCACACAGTTCAAATGTTGGTCAGGGAGCAACTGTACTGTGGTCTTGAATTGCAAGAGAAGAGTCAGAAGGGAACCTGCACATTGACAACATATTTATTCTTTCTTTTCAGCATCACAAGTCTAAACCATTTCAAGCCAATCACAGCAATCTGAGTGAGTAGAAATTCCTTAAGCAGTTTAGACTTCTGCTTTTAGCACATCTTAAAGCAGGTGTTTTTGACTTATTAGAAGGTGATCTACTGAATTTCCTCTAAAGGAATAGAATCCTAACTACAGTGGTTCTTTAAGAACCACTGCAAAAACAGAATTACAACAAAAGGAACAAAGCTTAAAATGTGTTTCCTCTGGAAGCCAAGATGCTAAAATAGGGGTCACTGAGAGTGTGGCTGAAATCCACCTCCAGAATGGCTATCAGTCAGATAGCAGAGATATTTAGAATTTATATGGTATTTGTGATATTTTTACAAAAATGATTTTAAATCATGTAACTTGACGTTTTAAAAAAATGAACCTGTTTTCTTTTTGGAAAGCTGGTCCAGTAAAAGTAACACTAATATAATTCAATTGTATATGCATGTGCATTGAACACAAAGTGGTATACTAAAGATAGTTCATGCAAATAACTATTGTGGGAAGTTTGGCTATTTTCTTAATATCTTTTTTCATAAATGTATGTTTATAAATATATTTACTCATCCACTATGAGCTTGGTAGCTTTAGAAGCATTTTTGTTAGCTGTGTATCATTGATTATAAAAATCAAAGTCTTGGCATAGTAGGCTAGGAGAGCTTTTCGTTGCTTTGTTTGTATTTTGGCCAAGAAAATTACTTCTTGCACTTTCTGTTCATGAAGATGTTACAACACATTGCACCCACTCAGTGCAGCTGTTCTTCAGAGACAAAAGATGTAGGTGTTAAGGTGGAACGTATGGTTAAAAGCCTGGCGGAAGGAGGGATCTCGAACGAACAAACTTGGCTTGCGTCTACCTGAGAAGAGCTGGGGGGTTCATGTAAAATTTACATTGGAAGTCGCTGTTGGGATAGGTGTGCTGTTGCGACGAGTTGCAATATCATTGTGAGTTGCCAGCTATGTGTATGTGATTTTATGTGTGTATGTGAGAAAAAGGTGTCTGATGAAGGCAGATAAGTCGGTGTAGAAAATTCTACCTCCCGCTAAAAACTGAGAATATTCCAAGATTGCCCTGTAACCCGCTGGGCAGGGAGGCTGGACTCCTCAGCCAGTGCCCACCCCATTCTCTTTTGTACTCACTTCAGCCCCTCTACCTCTGAGCACTTGGCTGAAGAAAAGTGTAGCTTTCTGTAGTAAGCAAAGGAAAGCCAGACCCAAAATATAGAGGCTGCAGTACTTTTGGTTCTCCTTGTCATGTTCAGATGTGAATGTTTAGCTCTTCTGCCCAAATCAAACAGCGTCAGGACACTTGGGTTTAGTGCTTTTACCCACTGGCTTGTATTTGGGAAGAGTAGCCCCTGGAAGTGGGAGTCCTTCTGTTGTTTTTGAAGACGCACCCAACTCCTTTTAATGATGTGAAATCTTATTTGAGTCCTGAGTTTTTTCATTTTTGATTGCCATTTGCAGTCCATTTTGGGGGACTGGAATATAAACCATATTTTCCTGATAATGAGCCTTCTGCCAGTATCTTGACGTATGCATGACACAGATTTTTGGATGACCTGTTTTGCTTTTAGACACTCTGAAGAGAGATATTTCTGTTTTTAATGCCAATAACTATCATAATAGTCAAGATAGCCTCATTTGAATGTTATGAGTGTCAGGAAATTCAGTTTCAGTAGTAAAATGCCACTAGGCAGACCACCTAATCTTTAAATCCAGTTGTAGCACTCAACTGATTTGCTGTTTGGGGCACCAGTACACTGAGCCTGACTTTTGAGCATGTGTTACAGCTGAGGAAGGACTACTGGCCCTTTAATAAAAGTCTTGGAATAACGCTTTCCACCTTTCTATTCTAATGCGCTAGCTGGTTATAATGTCCAAACAGGGATTTTCTGGTTAGGAGTGAAAAGTGAAAGAGCGATCCATTTTCAGATTTTTGGAGGTTGGCATCTGTGTTTTAGGTACTAGCAAATAAGTATTTACTTTCCTGGTGACTGGTTAGGGCAAGTGACAATACAGGCAGTGTGAAATTCCAAATGAGACAAGCAGTACTCACTGGTAACAACTGATACAGTAACCTTTGCCTGAAGACAGTATGAATCCTGTAGGGAGATGAGGCAGTAAATTCATGTGAATCTATTTACCACAACTGTTCTTTCTCTAACTATAGAATAATTGTCAGCCTTTAAGCTATGCTACTAATATCCTAGACTCAGGAATTAGCTCCTGCTTAGGAAAATTCTTTCTCTGGCTTATCTTTTGTTTGTGCTCAGTGTCTTGGCCTAGGCCTGTTGAGCTGTTTTGCTACAGACACATGTGTAAGGTCCAGTTCTACCTAAATCAGTAATTTATTGTCAGCAGTGCAGCCTATGACAGCCAAAGTAATTAAATAGAAAAACAAAGAAGTGAGAAATGCCTTCGTGACTTCTTTGAGGCATGTCAAACCTATGAGTCTGGGAGGAAGCACAGATTCTTACCTTCCTTCCATCTGGCTTGGGTGAACAGTGGCCTTAATGCTTTCTGTTACAGAGCTGGTTGACCTAGGCAAGTAGTCCTTCATCTTGGCTGCACATTAGAACCACCTGGAGCATTTAACAAGTTACTCACGTCTCGGGCTCCCTTCAGACGTTCATGTTTACACTTGGCCGGCTCTGCATCCTCGGCTTTAAAAGCTTCCCAGGGGATTCTGGGGGCAGCCAAACTTGAGAATTGTTGTCTAGGCAATCCTGAGTGGTCTCTGGCAGGATGACCTCTACCTGGTTCTTTGTTGTTGTTGTTGTTGTAAGATACCTTAATTGGTAACTCAGGCATGGCTCTGACTTTAAAACCCACAATGGGCCAAGCGGTAAAATGGCTCATCTGTTTGTCCTCACAGTAATTCTGCAGAGAGGTGTTGCCATCCACCTCGTTTCCTCTGTTTACCAAACACAAAATATGCATAAGTAAGCAAAACAAGTTTTCAAAGTCTGCTCCCTAGAATCCTCTTTCCCTTGCATATGTGATTTGAGTGGAGATTTTTCAACTCTGCTAGCTGAAATAGATAGAGCACTTGAACTTAGAAGAGCCAAGCCCAAGCCTAGGGGGATTTCCTTTTGTAAAATAAATAGGTAGCATTGTTAAAGTTAATGAAGAAAAAGAACAGTCCTTCCTGGCACGATGGTGATACATTTGATTGTTTGTCTCTTAGCCTGTCTTCTAAGTGGGATTACAGTGTAAAGTGAATTTCACTTTTCTTGTTTCTTTGTGAATGAAATGCACTATCTAAGGCGTAAATAGTTCTGAATTTTATATAAAATGTGAAATGAGTCATTTTAGCTTTGTTCCAGGATGTCAGAGACCTGACCCAGTAATTCCCAAATGAGGTTCCATGTCTTTCATTCTTCCCACCCCAGGTATAAGGATACTTGCCTATGGCAACCTTGCACATGGTCATGGGGAGGGGAGAATTGTTTGATTATCCCTAAAAAAGTGAGAACCACTGTTCAAACTAGCTACCAAGTGATTTCTAGTTTATGAGAGAAATCTGTGTTTAAGAGCAAGTTCAGACATAGCAGTCTCTCTTCTGAGAGAATTCTGGGCACTGTAGAAATTTTCAATCATACATTGCCTACAAATGATTGATAATTTAAAATTTCAAATAGGTGATGTGTTCAAGAAGAAAAAGTGGGTGGAAGGAAAGATGGTTAGTGCAGAGGACTGAATTAGCATCAGGCTATTAAGTTTCATTAAAATAACATTAAGGTCTGGCTATTTTCTTAGCATGTATCTGCTGCAATGTCAGAGAAAATGCCTCCTATGCCTTAGACAGCTTCTGAAGGCTTTCTGCTGTTAGGTGGAATAGACCAGCAATAGCCTTTGGGACTTAAATGCACCCAGAGAGTAGTCCATTAGGGTTTTCATAGTGAAAAACATTGTGGAGTACTGTGAAACATTGTTGAACTTTATGCAAATCGTACTGCACTGGATTTTAAGATTTTGGGAGGGAGAGTAGAGGAGGAGGATGGGGAAGTAATGGTAAAAAATAAATATATAAACTTGTGCTTTATTTTGTGCAAGGAATGAAACAATTCCCTGTGAGGAATTCTGTCAGGACTGTGACGTTCAGCCAAGTTCTTTTGCCCTAATTGGCTTGCTAATTCCTCTGAAACTTCTAAGAAATCCTTTCTGAAAGAGCTAAACGACAGCTAGCCTGACTGCAGGTTCACCACACTGCCCATCCCCCTGCTCACCGTAAGAGAAAAACATTCCCATACTGTAGGCAAAAGAAGTGTTTCAGTCCGTTAACTTTTCATCCTCTATGGTCTGTGTTCACAGTTTTAGTCCTGTTGTTCTTTTTTTTTTTTTTTTTGTTTGTGTGTGATCTAAAGGCAGAACTTGAATAGATCTGCCAGGTCAGTCAGGAACCATTGGCTTCTCCTTTAAGAAATCTTAGAATCAGAACTCTCAATTTTTGGCATGTCAGTGTGAGTGAGTAAAGGGAGAAGTACATGTACAGAGCACTTAGATTTCCTGGCTTCTCATAGTTTCAGGTGGGACCCGTTTGTGTTCTGCGTCTGAGAGGAACAGTCAAGATGGAGGGTTCCAAGCTAGAAAAGTCAATGTAGCTGAAATGTGGTTTCCTGCAAATGGACACAGTCTGAAAGGAATCTGTCCAGCTGTTCTCTATGGTGCTTATATGGTGGGCGACAGTTGTCTCCCATCTACCTGTCCCTGGCACTGTGCCTTCCCACTGGTCACTGTGAAAAGCAGATCACACTGGACTCAGAGGCCAGGACAATTTCCCCTGTCTCATCACTTCATACAGCTGATAATGTAGCATTTACTTCTCTTTGGAAAATTCTTGGGTTTGTCCCCCCAAGAAATAGTAAAGCATTTAAAGGAAAACAGTCAGAAAGATTCTGGTGGTAGCTATCAAATAAAGAGATGACAGGAAAGTTTTACTTCCCCTCGGCTGATACTGACAGCAAGGACCAGCTATGCCTCCTCTTCCGGAATTTTTAAAGGCTACCATCACATTTGTAAGCAACAAACTTACCTAACATTTTTTTTCACAATTTGCTAATCAAGGATTCATATTACAACAGACAATCAATTTCTAAAATGTTATCATCCCTGAAAGGGAACGAGAGAGTTTTTTAACTGTAAGAACTTACCAGTCTGGTTTTTCCCTTTGAAAAAACTAACATTTGAGGTTTGTGTCTTTCATCTGAAGTGATTACTCCATTAATGAAGATGCCTCAGAAGTGTCGTCAGTGAGCCCGCCCAGCACTCTCGCACCTCTGAGGGCGCTTGGGCTGGCTTTGTGCATCTTGTTTCCTTAGAGAATATCTGTTTTTATTATGACTGTAATTATAAATATCTATCTATAGGAATAGGATTTTCTCTCACCCCACCCTCTTTTAATCATTATCACGTAAGTGTAAACTGCACCTCCCCTCACCCCACTTTTACTGAAAAAATGCACTTTAATTCCTAAGGAGAGTGGCAGTTCCTGGCCCTGAAGCCAGATTACTTCAGGAGGAGAGCCGAAGGGGGAGAACTCTTGGCAGGCCCTGTGAAATTCACCAAATTCCCTACTGTAAACACACAAATCAGCCGTTTTTAAGCTGCCCCCACCCCCTGCCAAAGGGAAAAAGAAACAACCAAGTGAAAAATTTCAGAATACCTACCCTGATTTTAGAAGTTTCACTGGGGAAAGTACCCAATACTAAGTTATTTTCTCAGCTACCAGATTAATCAGAAACTCCTGGGAGGCTGAGACTTGTTTTTAATGTAAAATCAAGTGAATACATACAGGCTGTAAGACACGGTCCTGATTTGTGTCGTTTCTAAGTATCAGATTCGTTCTCCCCCTTAATTTAACAGGTGTCCTCAGTCTCTCCTCCTGTAGATTCTGCCCTTCCCCTGATGACAAGCCAATAGTTCTTGGTGGGGTTGCATGTCTCCTAGGACCCCAGGAGCCCTGTTGTGTCGGGGGAGGGGGGAGGGCAGGAGGGTGGGCAGAGACTGGGGTTGGCGGGGTGGGGGGAGATCCAGAGAAAGAGTGAAGATATGGGCTTATATAAACATATTTAAAGCAGTTTAGCAAAAGCTTTCTCATTGAACAGCTTTAAGAACAATGTGAATGAAATCTTAGCAACTTGGTTAGTAATCTGAAAAGTCTATTAATGTATACTTGAAATTCTGTTTGTATAAAAATACATTTTCCTCTTTATTTTAACACTGTGTAAAAGAACATTATGCATGTGAGTGGTTTGAGAATTAAACGGTTTAATATTCAGATTTGAATCTCTGTCTTTTCTGTATATAGGAGTTAATGCATTTTAAAATTTTGGGGTTTTTTTAGCATGAGGGGATTACCTAGATTTCAAGCTCCCCGTGCCCTTTCAGATGCCTCCCGTCTTCCCTGGTGTAGCAGTGACCTAGCTCCCCCTTCAGTTTCCTGACCCGGGTGTGTTCGCTGGCAGAGAACAACTGGAAACATCATTTTACCAAATGCCCAGCAGCATCTCTCTCTCCCTTTCTCCTTTCCTTGTCTTCACGTCAGGGGGCAAAGTCCATTCATAATTGTGAGATATGGGAGTAGGTGTATTTATTTTTACTTCTGTTCATAAACCAAAATAGAAAGAAGTGCAAAGAGTAACACTTCAGTTAACACAAGGGTTGGCTACTCTGCCCATGAAGATAATCGTGTTCAGAGCAACTTCCCTTATAAGAACCAGGAAGGGCCTGTTGGCCTTGAAGGTCACTCTGTTGGGGTTCAGCGAACGGCCAGCGATCCCAACGACGGTGCTTGCTGCTGCTTCACTGCCTTCCTCATTTACCTGCGGGGAAAACAGGAAACAAACTGCTACATTAGCTACTCTGCAGTTCATTACAGGCAGGTGTCTACACCCACAGACACAGCAGTTCCTCAAAATGCCACTTGTTTTCCAGTGTGCAGTACACCTGGATCAGGTCGCGTTCCCCCCAGAACCCTACTTTTAGTCTTTCTTTCATCCATTGGATATTGATGTGAGCACTTGTATCCATCCGAGCCTTGTGCTGGATGGTAAGTGCTAGGGTCCATTCAGATAATCTCCGAACCAGAAATCTGGATGTAAACAAGGCGGTCGCATTTCTGGCCGGCACGATTGTACACGGTATTGTCCTAGATGCTAAAAGAGGTTTTGACTCACAATCGGAGCACTATAGTTGAGCCAGGGCCTATGAGAACAGGAAGGGCCTCTGGCTGGATGTGATGCGTGTTTCTTGGAGTCACGGACTGAAATGATGGTTTTTGAGTTTGCTGAACCACCACAGACAGGTCTGGAGGGACAGACCTTTAGAAAATTTTGTTTGGGGATCCAGACTATCACCAAAACTCTGTCCCCACCTCTAATGAAAGCACTTCAGACCCCTGCGCTTTGAGGAGCTGGTTGACAATGCTGTCTCCCTCCCACCCTCCTCACCACCTCTCCCTTCATTCCATCATGATCATTCCAGCACTGAATCTATAAGCAGACTGGAGCTTTTGCAAGACCAGAATCCCTGTATTCAAATCAGATTCTGATTTTCAATGGCTTCTCAGGTACAGTCAGTTGGGGTACTGTGTCTTGGGTTCCCAAGACCCATGGAGGAACCTATATCATTGTTTAGTGGGCTCAAGTTCCAAGATGAATCTAGACCTCTGCTCCTTCTTAATAGTAACTCAAGGCCCTCAAGGAGGTCTGAGTTGACTACTTCCATTTGGGGTCCTTAGAAAATTTTCGAACATGGTTAAAACTCAGGACTCATTTTCCCTTGCAATCTTTTTAAGTGTTCTTTCTTCCATAATCCATATGGAAGAGGGTATCAGTGGTGTTGTGTTGACTTCCAAAACCATTAATCCAGTACTCATGTAAAATCCTGTGTTCTGACCTCGGTATCTTGAAGGTACATCCTCTACTCTTGCTGTTGTCCTCCAGGCTGCTGACTTCTACTGTCCGAAGGTTGACATCCCCACATTGAGGATTTTGTTGCCTAGCCCATGTCTTTTCTGTCAACCCTAAATCCTACGGTCATTTGACCTAGACAATTAAAATATCTTGGTAGGAAACCCATTCAGTACTCTAACCTCCCATTTCTTTCTTCTCATCAAATCCAGTGAGCATTACCTTCACTTAAGCAATCCAGTCCCATCTAGACCCTGAGCTTGCCACCCCTCGGAACATCTTTATCTTTGGAATTATAATTATGTTATCCTTCTCTCAGACTATAACCTTCTGTTTTTTCAAGCTATGACATTTCCTCACTCTCATTACAATTACTCTGACTTCCTCCTGTTCCTTAATCCCTCCACTTTCCTCCTTATTATATATTTCTCCCTGAGCTTGGACTCTGCAACTCTATTTACTAGCACCATGCTCTGAAACCTTTCTTTGACCACAATCTTCTTTCTTTGCGATATCCTCAATCCTGTGACCTTCACTAAGTTTGGCACATCACATTTCCCTTACTGCCTGGTTCCCCCAAAGAACAGTCTGTATAAGTGGTTCCCAAACCTGGTCGTACGTCAAAATCCCTAGAGGAGCTTGGTAAATACATAGATTCTCAGGCCCCATCCTGAGTCAAGCTCCCCAGAGAGCTAATACTATTGATTCATGGTTCAGTACTTGCTTGAGAGCCAGAAGTTCTGCAGGCTTTACGCAGTTATTACTCTAGTAATTGTTTCCACGGGCATCTTAGTTGGGGCAATAGTAGGATAAGCAATACTGAACCATTTTCATCACTGTGGAACATCTCGGACTTCAACCAGCCAATGTGCATTGCTTTTTGTTAATTTCCCGAGAAGAGGATATACATTTATTTGATCACCAAATTTTTTGTTATCTATAACGTAGTCTAGAGCCCTAGTTTTCTGGAACACACTTAGGACATGATTGACACTCATCAGCTCTCCTTTCTTACCTTCCATTGGCTCTTCAACCACTACAATTAGGCATGTGCCCCCACTATTCTGTTTCAAATTCCTCAGAGAAAAGTCACCTATGGTCACTTTTCAATCTTCTTACTAGATGCTTTCCATTTTCTTAAAACTTGGATTTCTATGAACTCGTCCCCTCCTGGTTCTTCTCCTCTGAGTTCCTTTGCTGGCTGCTTTTCCTGTGTCAGCTAACCCTTAATGTCTGTGTTCCTGCTCAACCTGCTTCAGGAGAGGTAGTGGGGTGCAGGGTGGAACAACCAGACCATGAGGGCTTCCAGGCAGGGCCATACTGTTGCAGGCCTCATGGAGGAGGGTGCTACAGGTTTAGGGTTTGCGGGACACTGAAAACATGCCTTTTTCCACACTTGTCTCCTACCGTTCACACACCTGCTACCTATATACCGTAAGAGCCCATGGAGCAAGAACGCCCAA